CGCCACTCCCTCCTCCCTCACGCCCTGCTCGCCACTGAGAAGCCGTCGGTGCCCCGGCGGTTGGCAGCGCCCGCCGCCCCCGTCCTCCCCGTCGGGAGGGCTTGGCTTAGCGCGGCCCCGGGTCACCGTCCTGACGGCCCCGCCGCGGCCGCTGCAGGTCGCCGCTCTCGTTAGAGTCCCGCAAACCCTCGCTCCCTCGAGCTGGAGGTGGTGTTCTCACGAGTGAGTCACTCTCTCCACCTGCCGAGTCTCCCCTGAGCGACTTTACTCCGTTTTCACTCGTCTGTATGCAGAAGCGAGCAAGTTGCACAGCCGGGAAGCCAGATGATTCATTCACGGGTGTTTGTTTTGGTTTCCCCCCTTTTCCTCTTTGGGAACGGGCTCATTATGTAGCCCCCGGTAGTCTAGAGCTGTACCTCTGACGAGGTAGACCCAGAACCCGCGGCAGCCTCCCCTCCCTGTCTGTGAACAAGACGACGGACGGGGCTGGTGGTAGAGGGGTTGGTAAGCTGCTCAGTACATGTGGGGTCGCACTCGAGGTGCGGTAGTAAGCACTGTTAGCCACTAAGCCACCTGTGAGATTTTGTTACTTTTTTTTTTTCCAAACAGGGCCTCACTCTGTAGCCCCGTATTCCCTGGACCTCCCTCTTGTAGATCACAATGGCTTCCAACTCACAGAAGTCCTCCTGCCTCTGCCTGCTTGGGATTAAAGGTGTGTGTCACCACCACCTGGCTCATACCTCCTTTTTTTTTTAACTACAAAAGTATACTTATGGGCTTTCACTGAAAGGTAGAATAAACACAGTTCACCTAACCCTCACCTTTTTTACCCGTCCCTGACCTGACTGTTATGTGGTCCTTGCTTTTGTTTGTCTTGGCAAAGTTGGAGGGCTGGGGGTTTTTGTTTCTAGTTTTTCAAGACAGGGTTTCTCTGTGTAGCCCTGGATGACCTGGAACTTACCCTGCAAATCAGGCTGGACTCCCCAACTCAACAAAATCCGCCTGCCTCTGCCTCCTGAGTGCTGGGATTACAGGTGTGTGTCACCACCGCCACCGGGCCCACAGCATTAACAAACAGCAAACTACCACATAAAAGTATTTAGTGTACTCTTTCTTAAGTTTGGATATTAGGTGGTATGGCCTGAACATTTCTCCAATAATAGGACTACTTTTTGTAGTAGAGATGTTCTAGTGTGCTGGTAGCGTTACACAAGTCTTTGTAAAACAAAGATTTAAGGAAATTATCAGTTGAGATAATTATATGTATTCTAAACTAAAAACAAGTCAGTGCATTAGGGTTTTCTAGAAGTTTAAGTTTACTAGCTCAATTAAAGTAATAGTTCTTGTAGAAAAATGTGTATTTTAAGTGTATGTACCTCTTTGTATGTGTATGAAGAAGGCTGAGAACGTCAGAAGAGGGTGTCACAGCCCCTGAAGTTAGAGGTGGTTGTGAGCCACCATGAAGGTTTCTGGGAGAGCGTAAGTGCTCTTAACTGCTAGCTGTCTCTTGAAGCCCCCAGAGTAAACAGTTCTGACCCTGCAATTTAGGGAACTCACTAGAATGAGAGACCTCAGTAGTTGATACTAACATCTACTTAAACTAAAAGATGCTAAGTATCTGTTGTTTTGTCATTATTGTTCTGAAAAAACTTAGCAGCAGTAGAGTTCTATTGTAAATTTAAAAAAAATAGGTAACAGCTCAGGCTTTACTGGAATTTAAGAACCTCTTGCCCTAGTCTCTGGAATTCTGAGACAGCAGGCATCCATTACTAAAGATAAATTCTACGTTTATCAAACCGGTTACAATAAAAAATAATCGTACACAACTCAAGTGGTGTTCTTATTTGGTTCTTAAAGTCAGTCTAGTGCAGGTTGGCGTGCTGAGGAATAGACCTGTTGAGTTATGTAGTTGACTGACGTGGGACTGTAGAGGTTGAGAAAGGGAGGCATGGAGATAGGCAGTAGCCAGAACCCAGCCATGGGCAGGCTCTGAATAGAGGGGGGGAGCGGGAATTGACACATTCTTCCTTTTGGGGGGGGTGGAGTTGTTTGTTTACCTAGGGAAAGGTTCTCAGTGTGTAGCTAGCTTGGCAGTTATGTGGCTTTGAACTCATGGCAATATTTCCACCTCTGCGCCTGCCTTCAAAGGGTTGTGAATGCAGGTTGTAGTACTAGTCCCAGATCCTAAATGTTTCATTGACAGTTCTTCAATTCACCTTCAAATTATACTAGGTATCATTTGTAATAAAGACCAGTAGATAAAGTGGATATTTAATTGAAATTTTCTGAAGTATTTAGTTAGGTCGACTTGATCTGGATGTGGTAGCTCATGCTTGTGATCCCAGCACTCAAGAGGGTGAGGAAGATGGGATCACTGAGTTTGACACCAGCTTGGACACAGTGATTTTGAGGCCATTTTGGGTGACAGAGTAGAACCCCCATTCTTGAAATACCTAGAGGAAAAAAGAGAAGGCAGCAATGCCTTTGAAATTCACACTTGTACCATGGCTTTTGCAAAGCTATCCTCCTAAATTTAGCATAATAAGGAGTGGTCTATCCTGTGGGTGTGTGTGGGTTGGAGAATAAGAAATCTCCTTCAGTGGTGGGGCATCCTAGGGTGATGTGCATGTTTAGTCCCAGGATTTGGGAGACTTCGAGGTGAATCTCTGCATTTGAGGTTATCCTGGTCAACAGTGAGTTCTAAGACAGCCAGGGCCATACAGAGAAACCCTTCCTCAAAAAACCCTTAATAAGTAAGAAGAATAAGTCGGTTGCAACTGTTGTCGTACAAACCTTTTGGTGGTGAATTTTGTAAATTACCAGTCTTACAGGTGATTTATTTTGCAGTTGAGAAAGTTTAAGGAAGAGGAGAAAAGTATTTTACATAGAACTGTTGTTCGTGTGGGTTGTAGTAAAGTAATGTCCAGAAGTCATCAGTGAAAACGCATTGCGGGGGCTTTAAAAAGAAAACTGATTTCAAGTAACAATGGAGTTAGGCACTAGACTGTAAGTTACAGTTGGATATTATATGTTTGGCAGCACTGAGTATAATTGTGATACGTTTTTGGTATAATTTTCTGTAATTAGTACTCTGGTAACCACTGTCATACTAGAAAAGAAGCATGTGTGTGTATCAGTCAGCATTGCAAAGTCCAGAAGGTGTGTCTGGACTTGGCATTTTTGTTTGATGGGAAGGCACTTTACCTTTCTGCTTTCTCCTCAAGTAGTCATTCTTCATGTAGTGTTGTATAATAATTTCTATCTTGTCAGATAGGTGAGTTCCGTAACTTGCCCTGAGGACAGTATTGTTGCCTGACAGGTCAAGCTAGTCATTTATTCCTCCTCCCCTTTCTGTAGTGCTGGGAACTGAGTCTAGGACTTCACACGTGCTGGATGAGTATCCCACTGCTTAGCTCTGCTCCCAGCCTCTTCCTCTTCCTCCCCAAGTCTTCTGAGGAAGGCCCCGAGCCCTTTTTCCTCCAGTGAACGGTGATGGTCTGCTGGTGGGTCCCACGTGTATCTTCTATATTATTTTGGGTTTCTCTGAGTAGTCCTGTGTCTTTTATTGTTTGAAATTAGTGTTCTTACATGTTAAGAGTCCTTCATGTAATGGCTATTGAGCAATAGTGAGCTCAGTCATTTGTAGTATAGCACAGATTGTGGGCCTTAAACCATTGGTGACCCAAGTGTCTGGCACATCGTTTCATGGGAGAGGAGCCTTGTGTGCGGAAGTTAGAGGACAGCTGCCATTTGGTTCAGAGTGAATTCGGGCTGTCGATGGCAGGTGCTTTTTGTCTGATGTGCATTCTTGATGTCCAGCTAGTTGTCTTTTAGCTGCCTGGAAGTTCAAGGAGATAGACCTCTTGTGCTTTCCTTTTCCCTTCCTCGTCCCTTAGTGCTGAAGGTCAGACTTTGGGCCTTGTACACGTTAGTTCTGTACCGTTCAACTAATTTATGTGCCAAGCAGTATGACGTATGCAGAGGCAGGCGGATCTCTGAGAGTTCAAGGCCAGCCTGGCCTACTGAGCCAGTTCCAGGACAGCCAGGGCTGCACATAGAAACCCTGTCTAGAAACAAACAGACAAAAAAAAAATCAAGTGTATGTTCCTCATAAAAGAAGTGAAATAATGCTTTGGGTTTGTGTGGATATATTGCTTGTCAAGATTGCTTTCTTGGGAAAGATTGAGTTTTGGGAAACTACCTTGCTGACATCTCTTTGAGGACTTTGTGAATACCTCAGGAACCCGGGACAGATGGCTAGGTGGGGTGCTATTTAACATGCCAGAGCACACCTGCCCCACCAGGTCCTTCAGCACCCCACGGTCCCTACCTGTGCAGACTCTGGCTGGCATACGCTACCCCTACCCTGAATTTCTCTAACCCAAGGAGTGGGCTGCCCGTCCTTCCCTTCTATAAGTCTCTGGTCCTTTGTCTACCCTTGGTCCTCTCGGTGTCCTGACACCCCACCGCCTTGCTTGGCCTGGCTCACGGACATGCTGACCCTGAACTCTCCTCGATGTCCCTGCCTGTGAGTGACTTTTGCCTTTTATCTGTAATGAACTTTTGCTTTAGCACACCTAGGAGTAGTAATGTCCTTCCTTTATTTCTTTTTTCACCTCCAAATCCCACAAGTGCACTGTCCCTCGGGCCTTTCCTCTCTCCCTCTCTTTCCAGGGTCATGTACCCCAGGCTGGCCTCAAACTTACCACAGAGGTTAAGGTTGGCTGTAGGTTGTTTTGAACCTCCTGCCTCCACCTCCCAGAGGTTGGGTTATGAGCCTGTGCCTCACACGAGGCTGTAACAGTCTTCTGTACTGCCTACCCTCCTCCAGACCTGCGCCTCCCCACTGCCCAGCCTCGCACGTGCTAGGCAAGCGCTCTGCCACACACCTCAAGTTCTTAGCTGAACTATTTGCACTAAGTATAAGCTTCTGTGGTGTCTTTACAGTGAGTTTCTTTCCTTGGGAAGACATTTTGTTTTTTCCCTGCCCTGTCTTTTTGTAAAGGCCATTTTAGTGTGATGCACATTGAACGTTTTCACACGTGCTCAGCTGGGTGACTTTGGACAGACTGGGCATGCTGGCAGTTCTCACTGAGAAAGAAGCAGGGTTTGAAACCCCAGAAACTCTTGCACCCTTCCCCCTGGCTATTAGTCATCCTTTCCTTCTCCCGGCGAGACTGTAATTTTGATGTCCAGGACCACAGTGTCTTGTTTACTCCCCAGCAAACAATGTGTGCTTCATTGTGTTTGGCTGCTTGTGCTCAGCACTGAGCTCTTTCGCCTAGTCGTCACACAGTTTGTAGCCTGAGATGGGCATCTCCACACTGACTTGGATGTTTTTCTCCCTGCGGTCAAGTTTTCAGGAAGCAGGGGGGGTGGCAAAGACAAGCTGCCTACGTTTGGGCTGGTGGACATGTTTGTTTTAATGTAGCTGAAGTAAACAGCGTCTTCGGTGTCTGTCATGGGCTGCCTTACATCAGTGCAGTGCTTCAGCCACGCCCCAACTTCATTTTGCTCTGGAGACTGGAGTCCAGCATTCCTGCCCAGCAGTGGCTCGCTTTGCATTCTTGGAATTCCTCAGGTAGTGATTCCTGTGCCAGTTTGGGGGGGCGGGGTTGCTTGTGAGTCTTCAGTTATTATAAAAGACTATTGAGAGATTCCACCAAGAAAAACTCCTAATTTAAATTAAAGCTGTTACGCATTCAGAGATATTTATGTACATGGTAGTGTGCAGATTATAAAGTCACCTTGTGAGCTACTATGCAAATGTGGATCATGGGAGACCCTTACCAAGTTCGTCTCTTTCAGGCTGCCTTCTGATGTAAGTGCAACTTTCTTAGCAGAAACTATTCTCTGTATTTTTCTACCACTTTACTTTCTTAATTTTAAGGTCATTATGCAAGATTCATTCCTGTGTTTTCGCACATAATTTATGCACTCTTACTTAGCCGCTGAGCTCTCTCCATCTCTGTCTGGTTTTGAAGGAACGTTTAGGAGAACATTATGTTATGGATAACAGAGGACAGAGCGACATGTGCGTGTTAGACAGTTGTCTTTCAGTCTCACTAAGTGTGTGTGTTTCTGTGTTGCTAGTGATGAAATCCTTTCCTTGAGCAATAGTCTTCTAGTCAGCGCAGGGGAGGCCCATCTTTCCAGGCCAGCCTCACACTCATGGTGTCTCTGAGGGTGACTCTGAACTCCTTCAGACCCTCCTGCTCCCACCTCTCAGGCGTTGGGTTCCATATATGTACTATCACGTGTGGGCCACAAGGGCTAGTGTTGGTGAACTAGTCACAGAGTTTTCCTGCTGGACCTTAGATACCTGCATACCTTTCTTTCTGTTAGCTGACTGCGACTAAGAAGCTTTTGATTAATTTGTAACTGTAAGGCACAGCTTCTCAAAATTCGCTATGCTTCATAAATCACTTTAAAGGTTGCTTTGTCTTACTTGGTTTTGTTTTTAGGATGGAATTTCATGATATAGTCCCAGATGTTCCTGAACAGAAACTCTCTGCCCTGCCTACTGACTGTGGTACCCCGAAGCACCGTCCTGCTTGCTTGCACAGGCTTTGTTTTGCTTTTTGAGACAAGGTCCCTCTAGGCACCAAGACTGGCCTCAAGCTTGTCATCATCGTCAGCCTCCCATGTGCCTCGCTGAGATGACAGCCGTGCCACCAACCCATGCCACGCCTGACTCTACACTTGTGACTCCTGAGTTTTTATGGCTCTGCTGTCAGTGCTCTGAGGTAGAGAGGCAGAAACAGTTCCCACATGGTTCCCTCAGCAGCCTGAGGGACTCTCCCAGAATTTCAGGGGTCTTGCTTGACTCTTGTTGAACTAGGATTTGTGGCTTTGACCCTGAAGAATTTCAGGACTAGCCAGCTAATGAAGCAGAGTTGTGAATTTTATTAGAGATGGTTTAATACTTGCCTCCGCATGAGAGACAGGCCGGAAGGCCTACTGGAGCGGAGGGCGCACATGGGTGTGGGGTGGGCTTCTTCAAGAGGAGTTGCTGGTTTTTGTAGATTTTACCTAATAGGATTATGATTGATAAAGTACAAGTCTAGTCCATGGGGTTACAAGAAAATAGAATATCTTTGCGGTTAAGTTTTTTTTTTTTAAGAAAAAATTACTTTATTTTGGAGGCCAAAGAGGGGTCAGATCCCCTGAAGCTAGAGTTATGAGGTGTCATGTTGGTGCTAGGAATTGAACCTAGGTCTTTGGAAGAGCAGCTGGTACTCTTAACTGGTGAGATCTCTGTCTCTAGACCCTGTTGTAAACTGTTCTTTAGATTATCTAGCCCGGTCTGGGGAAAGGAGTGAGGCCTTGCCCAAGGTCCTGGATGTTGAGGCCTCAAGCTTAGGCCGTTGCTACATCAGCATAAAATGTCTGTATTTGAAAGATGTGCTGGCAGCCTCTGTAGCGAATGTTAGTGACTGGACCCTGTTCTTGCCATTGTCCCCATGATTCCCATCTTCTGTCCTGCTGCAGTGCAGGAGGCTCCTTGACACTGAAGAATTTGAAGAGTATGTTTGGCATAATTTTGAGATGTTAGTTTGTGGATTAAATAACAATACATTACTAATAAGAATTAACAGCATTTGCTAAGTTTTTATTTTTGCTGGTAATTTAAAAGTTAAAAAGAATTGGGATTGAGAAATAGCTCTGAGGTTGAGAGCTGTTGCTCTTGCAGAGGGCCTGGGTTCTGTTCCCATCATCTATATGGTGGTTCACAACCACTTGGCGCTACATTTTCAGGGGACCTGGCACCCTCTTCTGAACTCTGCAGGCACTAGGCAAAAACACTCATACAAAATAAATAAAGCTTTTCTTTTTTTTCTTTTTTTTCCTTTGGTTTTTCGAGACAGGGTTTCTCTGTATTATTTTGGAGGCTGTCCTGGAACTCACTCTGTAGACCAGGCTGGCCTGGAACTTATGTTTAACCTTTACACGTGTGTTTGTGTGTTTGCCTGCATGTATGTCTGTGTGTAGCTTGTGCATGTAACACCTGCAGAGACTGGAAGAGGACATCAGATCCCCTAGGGCTGATGTAACAGAGGGCTGTAAGCTGCCATGTGGGTTATACTGCTGAGACATCTCTCCAGCCCCAAATAAAGCTTTATGAAAGAGTTTATAAGAATTGCGGTATAGCATGGGTTCTGACCACTGAAGAAGAGCAATGAGAGACTTGAAATTTGCCATTATTGAGCACCTGTCTGTGGGCCGGTGGCCCCTTTTTGTAGTCATGGTTTGGGATGGTATAATAGAAAGAACATGCGCATGAAACATGACTTTAAATTATGACTAACCGTTATTAGCTCAGTAAGTTTAATGAGTTCTTTTACCTCTACTCTGTATTTTCCTTATAAATAAACCTGGTGCATTCCAGTCAGAATCTCTAAAGGGTCTTGCTGGCTCTTCTTACTAATGAAGAAATGGGAGGTCAGGGTTTGTCACAAAGTGGAGTAACTTGTGTGACTCCAAAGCCTATGTTCTTCCATGGCTCACAGCTGTTAACTGAAGTGTTGGAGTTCTCAGAAAAGTAGGTTTAAGAAAACTCAGAAAAGTGATAGACAATGGCCATGACTAGTATAAGCTGTCAGTACTGATAGAGAGCCCTTGACAATACGGTGTTACTGAAATGTCAACAGATTGCTATTGAGATTTGAGAAGCGAGCGAGTAATCTAAAATTATAATTTCCTTGGGTGTGGTGGCGCTGCACACCTTTGGTCCCAACACTTGGGAAGCAGAGGCAGGTGGATCTCATCTGCATAAGAAGTTGCAGGCAAAACCACAAAACACTACTTCCCTACCCAAACAAATGAAGTGCTAGGCTGACCCAATAGGATTCCATGTTGGCTGTTGAACGTTTGCAGTGTGAAAGGTGTTTTAGGGAAGGTGAGCTTGGGAGAGCTGGACCCCAGTTTAGTTTACAGTACCAGCATCAGGCTGCATGACATCATAGACACACATAGAATTAAGAAGTTGAAATAGTGGTTTTTGCCTCTGTTACTTTGTTTTTTTAAGGGAGGATATTGATGTGTCAAAAGAACGATTGAGTGTGGAGAGGAGAGGAGGCCTGATAGGGACAATTGTTTCCATAGAGCAGATTAGATTCCGGGGACTGCTAGCTGTTTTCCCTACGCAATATGGTTTTTTTTTAAGTCCCATTAAGACAAATACAATCAAGGGACTGGAGTGAGGGCTTAATGGTTAAGAGTGTCTACTGATCTTACGGAGGATCCAAGGTCAGTTTCCAGCACTGATGTCAGGTGTTCACAACTGTCTGCAACTCTAACTTCAGGGGCTTTGATGCCTGTGACCTCTTCAGGCATCTGGACTCATACACATACCTACAGGGTCTGTGTTTGAGATAGGGTCTCTCTATGTAGCCCCAGCTATCCTGGCTCTGTGTAGATCAGGCTAGCCTCAAACTCCTGCTTTAGAAGTGCTGGGATTAAAGGTGTGCACCACCATGCCTAGCCTTACCCACTGGTTTTCGTTTCTTTTTTTCTTTTTTTTTTTTCAAGACAGGGTTTCTCTGGCTTTGGAGCCTGTCCTGGAACTCATTGTGTAGACCAGGCTGGCCTCGAACTCACCTGTGTCCTGAGTGCTGGGATTAAAGGTATGCACCACCACTGCCCAGCTACCCTTGGGATTTTTAGTCCTGACATTTTTGGAGAGCGTGAGTCATTAACTTTGTTGATCTGTAATCTGTGTTTGTGAGCTTGGCTTGTGGCAAGGTTCGGGTTGTCTCTACTGATGTTTCTTTCTGTTGTAGCCGCTGCAGTGGTGTGTATGCGGGTGTTCTACCTCTTCATACCTGCTGCTACACTTGGTTTCACGGTTTAAAATGGCTGTTAGTTATTTAAACTGATCAAAACATGAAACAGAATGCCTTGTGGTTTAAGAAACGTCTGCAGTAGACAAAAGAAACTGACAGTCTTGAGTGCCTGTTCTGTGTGTGTACAGTGTGCACAGAAGACAGAGGCTAGCATCAGTTGTCTTCCAGAATCACTCTCTACCGAACTTACTACGATTTGTGAGACTGGCTCTTCTCTGGACCTACAGCTTACCTCTTAAACTATATTGGCTGGCCAGGAAGCCTCCTGTCTCTGCCTCTTTAGTGCTGGGCTTACAGGCATGTGACAGCATGCTTACCTTCTGTGTGGGCACTAGAATGAATTTACATCCTCATGTCTGCTTAGCAAGCCCTTTACTGATGGAACCTTCTCCACCCCTCCTGATTGTCTACTAGATCCAAGACCTTTTGTAACTTATTCATATGATAATTCCAAGCCATTTTGCTTTTTAAATCAAATGGCATTGGGCAGTGCCCTCTGTTTCCCTGTCACCGAGCAACTGTCAGAAAATAGTGGTTTACTACAGCCCTAAACAACCTTTAAAGGTTCCTTCTATTCATTTATTTATTTATTTATTTATTTATTTATTTTCGGTTTTTCGAAGCAGGGTTTCTCTGTATTGTTTTGGAGGCTGTCCTGGAACTCTGTAGACCAGGCTGGCCTCGAACTCACAGAGATCCGCCTACCTCTGCCTCCCGAGTGCTGGGATTAAAGGTG